GAGAGAGAGAGAGAGAGAGAGAGAGAGAGAGAGAGAGAGAGAGAGAGAGAGAGAGAGAGAGAGAGAGAGAGAGAGAGAGAGAGAGATTGGCGACACTTGGGATCTGGACCAGACATTGGGCAGAGACATTGGGGGGAACTGTTTGGGATTGATATCAGCAACATTGGGGTTGACGACATTCTCATCTCTTCCCCCTCCTCCTCATCTGTGTATGAGTTAGGCCTGGCACCTTCGCCCTAGTGTGCAGTGCCAGGCCATTCACACCGTGTGATGATGATGATGTATGTCCAGTCTGCATTTCGACATTGATTGGGTCTGATCATTTATATTCCACTCTTCCGTTGCGCTATCCTGCTCTATCTATGAGAGGTCAGTTCTTGGTTCTGGTCTCTACCATCTCGGTATGCGACAGTTTGGTATTGGAGCAGACCTCTCGAAAGAGGATCTGCCCAATCAAGAAACCAACTTGATTGATTGATTGATTGATTGATTGATTGATTGATCAAGTAGGAATTCGTCAAATTTCTCCAAAAAAAAAAATTCTGTTTAACTAAAGTTGTCACCTTGATTAGCGGTAATTACCACTAACCCCGGATTTGCGCTAATCTCGAATTAGCACTAATCCGTGATTAGCGTTCTAACCCTAATCAAGATTAAAAAATAATTCACGGATTAAATCATTAAACCATTGCACATTCTTTTTCTTTAGTTTTCTTCTTTCTGTTGCAAATAATTCCTAAAGTCGCACTTTCGGCAAACGGAGAATTTCGGAAATCCGGCAATTTCGGTATTCCGTGAATTCTGCGAATTCCGCGCATTTCGGAATCCCAAAACTTTCGGCATTCCGTGAAACCCGCGAATTCCTCGAAATCCGGAAATTCCAAATTTTTTGGTCTTCCGTGAAATCCGCAAATTCCGTGAATTTCGGAAATTCCGAAAAGCTCGGCACTCCGCTATTTCCTGGAAATATGAAAAGTAGCACGTTAGGGTTAGGACTGTGTTTTTTTTTTTCGGTTTTGAGAAATCTCATCTGAATTATGGTTTTCATTTTCGCAAGTCCTTGGTAAGTCCAGAACCTTACGATTGCCCTAATCTGACCTGCCACATTTTTCGAAATTGAAAATCCTGTGCCTAATTAGTTTCGGCATTAGGGTATTCCAGCTTTCATTTTTTTTCTCAAAATCGTGATTTTTCAATTGAAGTTATTCCGTAAGTTTTTCTCCCTGGCCGACAGACTTACGATTTCCGTTGTTCGGAAATCGGCACAATTCCGAGAAATTCTTTTCGGAAATTTCAATTATTTTCACACATTTTTAATTTTGCGATTTCTGTTCCTAATTCCATTCACCTTTCACTGCTCGTTATCTGATTGATGCCTCCGTAATTCTCAAATCGACAGATTTCAACAAAAAAAAAACAGAAGAAGAGATCTTTTTCTTTTTCATTTTTTTCTGTTGATTACGATGATTTGAAATCAGTCTTGCAAATTCACACTCAAACATGCATGCAACAGATGAGAATA